GATTTTTATTTTAGGTAGGAAAACATATTTTCTCGGTTATGGCGGAAAAAAGCAAATTCTCGGGTTTGGCGGCAAAATGTGAATTTTTGGTTTTAGTGAGAAATAAAAAATTTGATTTTAACGAGAAAATGCGAGGGAAATGCAACTTTTCAATTTTGACGAAAATATGATATCTCGGTTTTGATAGAAAATGCAATTTTTCGGCTTTTGATGGATAATGTAATTTTTTGATTTTTCCGGAAAATTGTAATTTGACAATTTTGGCAAAAAATGAAATTTTTCGGGTTGATAGAAAAGCAAAATTTCTCGATTTTGGCGGGAATAAACAATTTCTTGGTTTTGATGGGAAATGCAAATTTTTAGTTTTTGACATATAATTTGATTTTTGGTTTTCGAGGGAAAATATGATTTTTTAATTTTCGTGGGAAACGCAATTTTTCAGGAGATGATGTAATTTTTGGTTTTTGCGAAAAATTGTAGTTTTTCGGTTTTGGTAAGAAGGCGTGATTCTTGATTTGACGAGGAAAATAATTTTTTCTTGTTTTGGTGGGAATAGACGATTTCTTGATTTTTGCGGGAAAATAATTTTTGGTTTTGCCGGAAAAATACTATTTTTTGTTTTTGAAGGAAGATGAAATTTTTTGGTTTTAGTGAAAAAACTTGATTTCTCTGTTTTGACGGAAAAACACAGGTTCTCGCGGGAAAGTGTGATTTTTTGGTTTTTGAGGAAAAATGCAATTTCTTTGTTTTGGTAGGAAAATGAAATTTCATGTTTGAGGAAAAAATAATTTTTTTTGGTTTTGGCGGAAAATGCAATTTTTCTGTTTTTGTAAAAAGATAAAATTTCTTTGTGCTAAATTTTCAAGTTAAATATGTTTATAGTAACCAAAATTGAATTATTTAACTTCAGCTAAATTGATATTTCAATTCAAATAGAACTTTATATTTAGTTCTAAAGTAATAGTAATGATTTTGATATGAATGTTATTGATTATAGTTTGGTAGTTTTAGAAACATATGTCTATAATAAATATTTGATAAATAAATAAATTTTATAATTTAAAATAATCATATTAATTAATATTTTTTTAAATGGCAATTTGCTTTATATAATTTCAAAGGAGGATCAAGTAGCAATTTAGTAGAAAAAAATAAATTACATCTACTATTAGCTTGAAGGTACTTAAAAATGTATTGTTTTATTCATACATATACATTTATAGATAGTTAGCTAAACAAATTTGATAGTAGATTATAATTTTAAAAATAAAAAAATTAATGATATATAATGTTTATTCAGATTAAAAACATATAAATACATAACTTAAGCTAATAAAAAATAAATATAATACTCATTTAAAATATATAAATAATTTTATTATATTAAAAATATATATAAATCTAGAAAAATATCCCGCAGCATAGCGCGGATAAATACCTAGTCCTCGTAATAAAATAAAAAAACCTGAAACATAAAATTAATTTACTGATATGCTTGTAATTTTGCAATGCGATTCCTTTTGATTTTTCTATTTTGAACATGAACATTTTCACACCCAACATGAATGCAATGCTTCCATACGATCCAACTTATAAAGAAATGAAGCTGGCATGCTGATAAGGCACAAGGCATGGATGGTTTATCAGCGAAAAATTTTACAGGACCATTTATTATAGAAGAAGTGTGAAACTTTTTTACTTCGGGGTCAATGCAAGACACTATATAGAATGAATGTACCGGTCCATGGAATCATGTAGCTAGAGTGTTCTTAAGGTGCATACTAGGGCTTCTTCCTCTAGTTACCGTTGTAGCTGAACCAGCACTTGCAGCTGTATATTCTGGGCGAGGAGCGTAAGCTATATGGGATGTGAAAGAATCTCCTTTCTCTTCGTTCGGAAAAATCTCCCGACTCGGCTTATCTCGCTATATTCTGGTCGACGAAATAGATTTCTGAAAAACGCATGCATGTGAGACTCAATCCAAGAATCTAAGGGCCAAAGAAGGTGGTTGATTTATCGACCTATAACGCTTTGTGCTGTTTATTATAAAATCATAGCCAAGATTTCAGCGAAATGATTACAACCAAATTTTCTTGAACTAATCTTTGATAATCAAACGGCGTTTGTTTCGTAGCGAGCAATATCTCACAATGTGCTTATGACACATGAGATTATTCACTACGTAACGTCCTCGAAAGCAGAAAAGCGTATTGTTCAATGGGAATTCAAATAAGCCGTATGATGACCGTACTGAATGGTCTTCGGATGAATTATGGAGTGTACGTTTCAACAGTCCATGCTATTTTTATTCATAATTAACGGTGCGACTCGAGAACAAGTTAATCAATCCTGATAAATTACGCAAAGTGACCCTCTCGATCTTTTTACTTGTTGATACTATATATTGAGGTCTTGTCCTATTTGTGTATACAAGCTCGAGATTTATAGCAGCTCTCAAGAGAGGTTCAAAGTAGCATGAGGTAGGTTGGATTTGCCCGTGACGAAATTATGCCCAACATTAGCAGAGCCGTGCTCAATGTGTTATAAAAAAGGCATTTGCCTCATGTAACTAAAAATAATATATGATTTTAAGGTTTCCATTTTAAAAAAATTAATAATAGTGTAGTAGTTAAACCTTCTTTAAAAGCTGTTTCTAGGTTCCAATATAAAAGATGACTAATTCTCTCCAGTTGAGTGCCACCACATCATTTTGGTTTGTTGTGAAAATGACATGTGTCATTTTTAAAAATTTAATGATACAAATTATATAAAATACAGTTAATGCATAAATTTAATGTATTATTTATCATAATACTAAAACAATATGAAAAAATAAAGAATTAGATAATATTTTAATAACAATATATACTTAATATCCAAAAATAATTATTGAATATCTATTTTATGGTAGTTTTTAAAAATCATTAATAAAATTTATGTTTTATATTTAAGAGTGTTTTTTTATTTTTAATTAATATTATAAGATATTGTTATATTTTGAACCTTAAAAAGTTAGAAGAAAAATTTATACAATATTATAATATACTTTAAAATAATTTCTATATAAACTAATGATTATTTGATAATTTATTTTATTCAAACTTGATCCATCAATAATTTTAAAATTAATAAGATATCAAAGTCTTAATATATATATATATTTATAAAATATTTAATGCAGCTGTATATATTAAAATTATAAATCAATTATTTAAGCTCATAAAAATATAAAACCATGGCATTACTATTATGTAAATCTACATCGTGAACAAGTACGACTTAAAGAATCGTCTCTATCTATGTTGTGCTTGAAGCTAGAATTTCTCAAATTAATTTTTATTATATAGTACTTCTCTGATTTGCACTATATCCATTTAATATATTTTATATATACAAGGTATAATTATATTTTATATTTTCTTATCAATAAACCATTGATCACATATATAGTTAATATCCATATAGTATTTAAATATGTATTTTATTTTTATTCAAATACACAATATCCTTTAAAATTTATTAAATATACGATAAAATAAATTATAACTACACTTTATATAATATTATAATATACTTTAAAATAATTTTTTTTATAAACTAATAATTATTTGATAATTTATTTTATTCAAACTTGATCCATCAATAATTTTAAAATTAATAAGATATCAAAGTCTTAATATATATATATATATATATATATTTATAAAATATTTAATGCAGCTGTATATATTAAAATTATAAATCAATTATTTAAGCTCATAAAAATATAAAACCATAGCATTACTATTATGTAAATCTACATCGTGAACAAGTACGACCTGTTAAAGAGTCGTCTCTATCTATGTTGTGCTTGAAGCTAGAATTTCTCAAATTAATTTTTGTTATATAGTACTTCTCTGATTTGCACTATATTCATTTAATATATTTTATATATACAAGGTATAATTATATTTTACATTTTTTTATCAATAAACCATTGATCACATATATAGTTAATATCCATATAATATTTAAATATTTAAATATGTATTTTATGTTTATTCAAATACACAATATCCTTTAAAATTTATTAAATATACGATAAAATAAATTATAACTATATTTTTTAATAAATTATATTGTGAAAAAAAATCTCATCTAATAACCATAAATATTGTTTTTTTGTAAATTTCATTCATTTTTTTCTATTAATACTAACATTTTTTGACAAAAAGTTGGATTATAATAATTTAAGAAAACTTATAAAAAAAAATACTTATTTTAAGTTTTACCTAAACTCTTAATCGCCTGGGCACGGCACTGAACATTAGTAGTACTAGGATTAAATTTGACGAATTCTTATGGAATTTTTCTACTTCATATAATCATATTGCAGTATATGGACCGATTAATTTTTGGTTCAGATTAAGAAATTTTGGTCCCTCAGTCTACGTTTCTTGTTTCCTGCCATTCTTAGACAATGCAAAGAATAACGTCTAAATGGAAACCTTTCTAAAAGAAGAAAAAAACCATTCTATCAGAAAAACTCAATAGCAGAGATACTTCATTAATAACAAAAAAAGATGCTGAAAAGCCTAAATTCCTTTCACCATGGACCTGGTTCCAATTCCATGCTCCTTCAGCTTCAAAGTTTAAAGCACAACAAATTAACTGAAAAAAAGAGAGAAAGATATGAATAATGTGTGTGATACACTTAACCATGATTGGTACTTAAAATCCACTAATTTATGTTTTTAAGAAAATCCATTATAATGTTTTTTCTTTAATCTATTATAATGTTTCCCGGAAACAAACCGTGATTTGCGGATGTTACAACGTCAATTAGTTCAACATGGCTTTATTTACTTAAGGCAAAAGACTATAATTTCAAATAGTTGGACTATAGTAAAAAAAAAAAATTATTCGTTATTAAGTGGATTATTTTTGAAATCATAACATGGTACAAAAATATATATTTTAAATAACATGTAATTTTGAATAATCACAACTCATTGCTAACCAGCTCATAAGCTAAAAAAGACAACCCATTTCTCCACTCTTTTGACAAAAACATAACACCAAACATTTAAACACTTCAAAAACACAAATCTCACAACCCAACAAAAGAAAAAGGGAGAGAAAATGTCTCTGTTTCTTCTCCTTCTTCTTCTACTCCAATTCATAACTCCATCTTCGCAATCCTCAATCAGAAACCTCCTCGAAGCTCGTGGTTTACCAGGTGGTTTGTTTCCAGACAACGTAGAAAGTTACAGTCTTGACGAGAAGACAGGGGAGCTTCAAGTTAAGTTACAGAATCCTTGTTTTGCTCGGTTTGAAAACAGAGTGTACTTTGATAGTGTGATTAAAGCAAATCTAAGCTATGGTGGGCTTGTTGGGCTTGAAGGTTTGACACAAGAAGAGCTTTTTCTTTGGTTACCAGTCAAAGGCATTGCAGTTAATGATCCTTCTTCTGGACTTGTTCTTTTCGATATCGGTGTTGCTCATAAACAAATATCCCGCTCTCTCTTTGAAGATCCTCCCGTTTGTTATCCTCCTGGTAAGTTATAGTTTGTAGCTTTTGGTTCCTCAAGATTTTGTCCTTTTTAATGCTAATTAGTTTTATAATTAAACGAGAGATTTTGAACCAAAACCAAGGCTAATAACTGTAGTATGTGAAGAATTGCGTCTTATGAAAATTGTATGCTTTTGTTATTTGTTACTATAGGATCTATAATGGAGAAGATAGAGAAGATGAAGATGGATATTCAGCTCCAGAGATAAAAAGAAACAAAATGAGTTCTTTTGGGGGGGGGGGGGGGGGGGGGGGGGTGTGAGATTTAAGTTTTAAATCTGTCTCTTTGAAACTTGAACAAAAGATGTGTATTTTTCCTTTTCCTTTGGGGTTGTTTTGTGAAGATGGAAAATGTGGGGGAATATTTGTAAAATCGGAAAGAAGGGAGGAAAATTTTGGAACTTTGTATAAAATGTGGGGTCCACAAAGTAATCAATTTTGTCACTTGTCATTTTTTTTCTTTCTTTTCTTTATATGAGAATATAGAGTACTTTTGAAAATAAAATGAAAAACTTTTGCTTTATTTGTTGAGAATGATGTTTTTGTTTAATCATCATATTCTAAACATAATCATTGACATAGAATTACGCTTTAAATGGAAGCTGCGTTCATATGTTTGGTGCGTCTCGTATGGTACCAAATACAGCTGTATCACCTAAAGAAAAGAATTAAGCCTGTCCTTCATATCCGTAACAGTGCATATTCAATACTTTCTTTTTATAGTTATTTAGTTTGTTTATAGTCCTAAATAATTAAAAGGTAGTTAAAATTAGATAACCTAATCTGTTATTTTTCTTTTATCCGCACTATATCAGTTTAGAATTATACAATAATACATATATTGATTAAATTGTCACGAACTAACCACGACTTAAATAGCCATGAAGTGTCATAAGTCATAACTATATCGTAGCTAGGCTTAGCTACACACATTTTATGGCTAAGAGACACGATTTATCCACATTAACATTGTGGCTTTCTGCCAACGATAGGCACAATCTATGGGGGCTGATTTCAATGAAAAGTCATCTTTCAATAGGGTTTTAGGCAGTATAGATTTTGCTCATCGGAAACTTGATCGGTGTTTCGGATGCCTCCATTCACAAATACACGAATGAAGGTTTTACTTTCCACGCTAATGCTCGGTTCCTCTATGGCAGAAGCGGAGGTCTTTACGCTTCCAAGTTTCATGATGTGAATGATTCTTATGATAAACCTCTTATAGGAAAGTCCTTCCTAAGCTCATTTTTCTGTCCTTCTCCTTTCTCATAACAATACCATTTCTAAGCTGGCATGGTTTGTTTGAGAGTTAAATTATGCAAATACACCACTCAGAGAGGGAGGAAGATCCATTGCAAAACTTGTATAGCTATTTAACCAAAAAAAACTATTGATTACATCATATAAATTATATCACAAACTAAATATATAAATTTTAAATAACTTATTAATAAATGATTCAAAATATATGTTTTAACATCATTTATCATAATTGATGTTTTATTAATTATTTAACTTTTAGTTCAATAAAATTGATATAAATTTATATTAGTTTATATCACTTTTAAAATTATGTATTCAAATCAGTTAAATAATTAATGTAATCAATAATTTTGGTTAACATCATTTAAAAATGATATAAATTCTATATCAGGTAAAACTGATGTAACTAACTTTTTGTACTTTGTCTCATATCGGTAGTTGATACAAAATGAAAGAGAAAACATGTCTACATATATCGAAACTTAAGTACCTAATATTTATATTTATTAGTTAATAAAATTAATTTCGAATTTTTTGATCTTTCAAAAAATTATTGATGCATAAATTTTTGGATTAAATAATAATATTATTATAAATATTTATGAAAATAATAATAAATTTAAATTATTTTTAACATCTGAATATAATAACGATATTAAACTAAACTAATTTTAACATCATTTATTATAATCGTCACAAATACTAATATCATTAATAAAAACGGATGCAAGCAATAACATCAATTTTTTCATAACTGACACATATTGGCATCAATTTCAACAATCGATGTAAAAATAAAATATATTTGTATCAATTGATTACTAACTGATGTTAATTATTTGCATCACCATATTTGTGGATACTGAAATCCACACTCAAAAATTTATGTGTTTTTGTAAGGGAAGAAACTTAGAAGAATTAATGGGCTAGATTCTCTCGAGCAAATTGACTGTATAAGCAAGCACTAACTAAAATAAAGACTTGGTATTAATCGGTTAAATAAAACGGTTACAAAGATTTTGATGAAGAAGATGAACTGAAAAGAGCTCTAGAAGCAGTTACATAGTTTTCGATTAAAAATGTAGAAAAGATCAAGCCGAAGAGAGGTCCCCCTAAACTAAGCCGTTCCCTTCCTTCATATAGCTCGCCTCGTCAAGCTCCGAACTCCAGCATGTATCTCGGCCACGTGCAGAAACTTTAACCGGAAATCTCGCCACGTGCAGCAACTTCCTCCGCGATCTTCTGACTCGTTTGAACTGGCAAGAATATGCTCTGACTGGGCTCAGATCCTTCCTTGTTTCTCGAATTCGGTCGAGCTAGAGCTCGACCTTGTCGAATGGAACGTTCTGTCGTTCAGGATTAGATCGTCGAGACTGAATGGACCTGGGCTGCAAGATCAAAGTCCGGTCAATTTGGCTTAGTTTGGATCTGCCTGTTGGGCTTGAGTGGATCGGATTTAGGGTGCTAAATCCAGCTCCAACAATATTGAATGTCAGTTTTACAAGTGATGTAAAACATATTTATATCAATTATAACTAATACAAATATTTAAAATAAATGATATAATACACCTGTTTTTTTTGTAGTGATTTGTCATGTGAAAATCAATGTCAAAATATTCTTCCATGATGGTAACTTATTGATAATCTTCTAATTGTCCTATGGTTTTTAATATTGAAGCGGATATACTTTGTCAAGAACTCGTGAAAGTTGAAATTTGCTTATATTTTGCTTATATATTACTTATATTTTGCTTATATTTTTTTAATCCAATTTTGATAGAAAAAATTCTTAATTCATGCGTTAATTAATAATAGCCACGAGAGCATTTAGGAAAAGTATTGAAAACTATTGAAAATATTACTAGAATTTGATCTGCGCGTTGCGTGAATTTAATTGTTAATTCATATAATTATTATATTTTTTATTTTATTTTATTTTATTATTTTTATTTTATATATTATTTTAGTTTTTAATTATCATAAATATGTAAACTTATTGTGAAATATTTTCTCTAATATAAATTATGATATGTTAATTGTTTTTAAAAAAACTTTTTCTTATAGTTATACGCTATCGTAAGTATTTATGTCTTCATATTAAATATTTTCATTTAACTAACTTATTTATGTAGTTTATTTCTAGCATGATCAGTAAAATGATTTCACAATCTATCACACACTCTCTTTTTATTTTTTTTTATTCGAAATAATTTTTTTATTTTGTAGAGAATTTGTAGTTGTATATTTTGTAAAATAAGTTTTTCTTTTTTACTTTTAAATTAATATTATGGGAAGACTCAATTTATTGTCTCTCTTCTATATAATTTTAAGTCGTTCAAGTGTATTTTTTTTCATGAGAATATATGCATTTTGTTTTTTTCTCGATAACATGGTTGATAAATTTTAATATTTTAATTTGCAGGTTGCGCAAACATATCTATTATTTTAATTTTAATGTTTTATATTTTTATTATGTATATGTTTATTTTATATTATAATGTTGTCTTTTTATTTGTTTTTCCAAAATATGTATATTTAAATTTTAGATTTATTTTTTAAATATAGATTATGATGTATTATCTTAATTTTTAAAAAGTGTCTCGTATATTTATACGCTGCAATAAGTGTTATATGTTTCTTAACTGTTTAATTGTATACAATTGGTTTTTGACTTTTTTTATAGTTCATTTTCACTGATAAAGTAAAATCATTATTGACCATTCCCCACTCTAAACTAAATGTTCTATTAATTTTTTTATCAGATTTTTAAAAAATCTAACTCATTTTTTATCATTCATTTTATTTTTTCCTTTTTCTAATGTTCTTAATCCTATTATTCTGGTTACAATCACCAATATTTTCTTTTATTTTATGCAAGTTTTTATCTCATTCAATTTTGTGATTGGTTGTAACTCTAAATGAGGAGAATTATAAGTAAAGTTGGCAAGACAAAACAAGAGATCTGTTCATATGTTACATAAGTTTGATATGTTTATATATATAAAAATTATGCTTACTTGAGAAAATTTTGATTTTAATTGATTTCAAATATTTGTCGTTTTTTGAAAAAAAATTCGATGTGTTCATCCATCTGATGATAACGAACTACTTGACTATATTTGTGTGTGTGAAAATATTCTTATCTATTTTCATGTCATGTGGAGGTAAAAAACTTGACTATGTTAGAAAATATAATCAATAATCTTGTTATAGTTTGTTTATATACTTTATATTAAAATTCATAAATTATCCGGTTGATGAGTAAACTCATCCAATATCAATTTTATATTGCCATCATTGAGAAAAAATGGTCGATAAATATTTGCCATTTTTTTTTCTATTTCGTATTAACCAAACTTATTTTTATACTAACATTTTAGTTTTTCATTCATAAAAAATATTTATTCATTTTACATAGTAAAGTAGATATGAATGATTTTTATTTATTTTATGCATTAATCTTTTTGAGAATTTGTTTTAAAAAGTTTGATAACTATTCTCTGCAAGTTCTTATGTCGTCTTTAGTAATTGTTTACCTTCCAACTCTTTTTCACACTCTATTTATTTATATTCAAGATAACTCTTTTAATATTCTATGTATTTATATTCAAAATAACATTTTGAATTTTTTATCTAATAGAAAATTAGTGTTTTATAATTTGTAAAATAAGTATTTATTTTATATAAATAATTTTACTTTAGTTTTATACATAAATCTTTCTAAGGTTTTTTTTATAAAACGTTTTGAAAATTATTTTCTGTAATTTATTCAGCCATCTTTTGTATATGTGTTTACCTTCTAAATTCTTTTTCATAAACAAAGAACATAAGTTTGTAATTTTATGACTTGTAAAATAAGAATTTGTTTTTAATTTCAAATTTACCATATTAAAAGCCTAAAAATAATAACCCAAAATATAAAAACTTAAAAACAAAACCCTAAATATTTAGAAGCCTATTTTGAAAAAAAAT